CTATATTTATATATATAGTATGTATATATAATTCTCTCTCTCTCTCTCTCTCTGTCTGCTCGCATATTTATACATCTCTAAATGGGCGTGTGGTGATGTGTATGTTTGTGCACACGTATTTGCAAAGATCGACTCTCTGGGCATACCACTAAAACTCATGATGCAGATATGTGTTCTATAAATCATTACATATCATATACCATGGACATGCCAGCCAGGATCAGCCAATCAATCCACTGTTGCATCCATGCCTGTCAAAGTTCTCATCTTCCAGCTTTTGGCTCGCCCTGGCACCCGAAAACAAGAGATAGGGATGGATCAAAATGGATATTGTAAAATTGCAATCACTGCCAGGAAGCCAGTTGAACCTTACTGTCATGGGCATCTTCACTGAATCTTCACCCAATTCCATTCAATTCCCCCAGAAAAACGCTCGCACCTTGGACTTCGCCTTGACTTCCCCTGCCTGAGCTGAACGTACGCTACACCCCACTGGCCACTGAAATCCCCCTGGTAGATCTGCTAGCAATGTATTAATGCCGATGACAAGCACTTTTTATCCATGTAAGTCACACTACAGGTACCCCAAATGTCGACCAATTTCAGCAGGGATTCACCAGGGTCTTCCCAGCTACTCTCGGACAAATAATGTAATGGAGAAAGCAACTACAAAATGGAGTTATTTAAAATATTAGTGTTTGATAGCACAATAATACTAAATCGACTGCATCTAGTCGTTGAAATACATATTTTCAATAAACACCAATCAAAAACACAATGTCATTTCAATCAATGTCTGGCCATTTGCGTTTCAGATATAATTTAACCCAAAAAAAATCCAAACATGACAATGTTCTTGGGCAAATGATGGTAAAATATGGTAAAATGATGTTAAACATATTAAACATTATTAAACCATGGGATTCTGATGGATTCTGCACATTCTGAGACAAGCCCTTGCTGCAACTCCCTGATCGAAACAGCGTACCCTGTTCTTCGTCACCAGCACCTTGTTGGAGCCTGTAGGGATCATCGGACCATGGTGCTGAATTCAAGTCTGAAAAAAAAACGACTTGAACCAAAAATGCCATGGCCATGCTGTAGTGCCTTTTGCCGCGGCAACAACCATCATAACATATCATAACCATCCCCTTTTTCTGATTTCAAATGCAGCAGTCTTCGGAACATTCCAGAACCCCTAGATATCAGCCCAAAAGTAAGCATGGAACCTGATGCCCGCGAAAAGAACCTTTTCGATCTTGCTGGCCCTGGATTAGATTTTTTCCGGTCCAGAATCATCAAAAACTGGTGATATATCCCGACTTCAGGAGTTATTATGGGTCATGTTAACATGGTTATACCATGTTATACCCACAAATAACCTCAAGCATCCCCAAGCCTTCAAACTTACCTCAACTTTTTACTTCCGGGCCTTTAGAGAAGTCTTTGGCCATTTCCACTAGCCCAGGCCTGGGCAACTGCAGCAGTTTCGAGGGCCGATATCTGTCAGTTTAGCCGGCATTGGGGCGAGGGCCAAAGTTTGAACCACAGGTTTTGGTTCTTTCACAGTATTTCTATGTATTTCAATTATAACCACCCCCCCATGAAAATATAGAGATAAAGATAGATAAAGTATAACGAAGTACTTGTGCATCTTTTTGCGGACATTTCTTGGGGCACGCTGGCCCATGCAGACCTCCGTTCTAAGATCCGGTCGGGATGGTCTGGCGTGCCTCTGGCGGCCAGGTATTGTGCCCAGAAACGAAACCCTGTGCCCTTTCAATCTTTTCCAAACATTTCCAAACTAATTATCACTTAACTCACTTAGCTTACTTAGTTTGTTCATGTTTGTTCCAGTTCAGGCACCGATGAAGAATTTACAAAGCAATGCAAAGCACAGGTTCGACACCAACCGTGCTATCGAATTTAAACCGCGCAAGCCTCTGGGAACAGTTTCACCTTAAGGGCGGAGAAAAAACCGGGCCCATCTTGCGGCCCCATGCATGGCTTTTCTGGGTCAAAACAACTCATTCCCGTGTCGCAGTAGCTTATCCTATGGTTATCCTCAAGGACTCGCCATATTCCCACGACCAAGCGCACTCTTCTCTGGTGCCTCTTGCAAGACTTTCAGCAATGGCCCTGCCCAGCGCTCATCCCCATCTGTGACCTTTGCTGGGCTGGGACTCCAGGTACTTTACCATGAAATGATCACCATGAAACAAACAAAATCAAGCAAGTACCAAAAATAGCAAAATGGTACCGTTTCACTGTTCTGAGACGGAAGTAGGCACCGCCAGTTTAAAAAGGGTTGGTGAGATCTCAACAACACTCAAATGTATGATATTATGAGTTATTAAATATGTTATTTTATGACAGCAATAGCCATGGGATTTTTCCAGAAAATCCCATCCCAACTGAGGATTTTATGGATGATCCCAAATCATCCCAAACCTCATTTACCATCTGGTTATGACTAACATAGCTATGGAAAATCACCTTTTTAATAGGTAAACCATCTATTTCTATGGGCCATCTATACCATGGCTATGTTAGTCATAACCAGAGGGTAGATAAAGGTCACCATCAAAAACCATCCCCAAACAAGGCCCCCAACAAAGGTCACCGCCGTTCCCATGCGCCCTGCACGGCCGCAGCGACCGATGCGGTGCACGTAGCCATCGATCTCGGAGATCCCGGCTGGGTTCAACCTGAAAAACCTGAAAATCATTGAATGATTGGGATTTACCATGTTTTACCATGTTTTACCATGATTTATATGATTTGGATTTACCATGTTTATATTTTGTTTATTCATCACTTCAACATTCAGTTGCAAATGAAACACTAATATTCAATGGGCAATCATTGGTTTGGATTTGCATGGATTTGCCCTCCAGTAATTTACGAGATGGAAACCCGCCATTTGTAGATCATTGTTCGAGGGAAACCATTGGACTTCCATATCATATCGATGTTAACTGTATACGATCACAGGCCAAAAACCCATGAGAAAATGACGCGTGCATCTCTTGAAGCCACCCGCGTGTTGATTAGCCACAAAGGGCAAACCAGCAAGTAGCCCAAACAATTCCAACAACATTCTCGGATGACAAATCGTCAACTGAGTTTAAACAGTTTACTATGCATGCACTCCGCTCGTCGAGGAACCGATAGACCCAAGGAGTAGTTCACCACATGCGACACGTCGGGCACATCAAGACCTGCCAATGTGGCCCCCCCCGGGCTGGTCAATGCTGATAAGCTATGTGCCAGGCATCGTCCTGGGTAGTTTTAGAAAATGGTATATCAGCTTCCGAGAAGTGCTTGTCATGGTTGAAGATATTATGATTATATATGATATGATATGATATGATATGAGATGAGATGATATGCATAATATATATATGGGAAACCATGTGTTGTAATGGGTAAGTAAATCCCGGTCAAAGGATTGATGATCATCCCAAGTTTAGACCATTGCACAGGTGGGTGAGTTTATAGAGGTCGTATCCTAGCTTCTGTCGAGCATACCCATGTATAGATCATTATAGATCCATATGTCCATGTATATCCATTATATAAATGTCCAAAGAACTATAGTAACTATACAATAACATACAATAACATACAATAACATCCAATAGCACCTAATAACATCTATATAATAACATCTACTAAAAAAAATCATAATTACTTTACTTCGTGTGATCCCCACCATGACATTTATACATTTTGTTACTGGCAAATCTTCTGGCATTCTATCTGACATATTTTCTGGCATTCGATCTGGCATTCTATCTGGCATATCTTCTGGCATTCTACCTGGCATGGCATATCTTCTGGCAGATGTTCTGGCATATCTTCTGGCAGATGTTCTGGCATATCTTCTGGCATATCTTCTGGCATATGTTCTGGCATATCTTCTGGCATTCCATCTGGCATTCTATCTGGCATATCTTCTGGCATATTATCTGGCAAATCTTCTGGCATTCCATCTGGCATTCTATCTAGCATATCTTCTGGCATATTATCTGGCAAATCTGCTGGCATTCTATCTGGCAAACATTCTGGCACTTTATCTGGCATATCTTCTGGCATTCTAGCTGACATTCTATCTGGCATTCTATCTGGCATACCTTCTGGCATTCTATCTGGCAGATCTTCTAACATTCTATCTGGCATATCTTCTGGCACTCTATGTGGCATATCTTTTGGCGTGGATACTCGCGGTTGAGGTCCGGCAGGGAACACTGGGCGTGGATGGTCGTGGTTGAGGTCCGGCAGGGAACACTGGGCGGGGATACTCGCGGTTGAGGTCCGGCAGGGAACACTGGGCGTGGATGGTCGTGGTTGAGGTCCGGCAGGGAACACTGGGCGGGGATGGTCGTGGTTGAGGTCCGGCAGGGAACACTGGGCGTGGATGGTCGTGGTTGAGGTCCGACAGAGAACACTGTGGATCGCGAGTCGCAGTTGAGCAGGAGGACGAGGAGGACAACGAGACGAGGAGGACAACGAGAGGAGGAGGACAACGAGAGGACGAGGACGACGAGAGGAGGAGGAGAGGAGGAGGAGGAGCAGGCAACTTAGATAAAATCTAACAACCCTCACCTGGCAGGTGGGGAACAACTAATAGTATCTAACAACATCTAGTAACATCTAATCACATCTACCAACATCTACTAACCATCCATTTTGATTCATGAATCGCGACCTTTTTCCTCCGCAGCTTGAGATTCCTGGTTTCTTCGGCTTTCTTCGGCTGAGTCACCGTTGGTGTCCATCGGACATCGGGGCTACCCGAAAAAAGCTGGATGGTTGATGTGGAAATCCACCCAAAAATATGAAACAAAAGATGATTGAGGGGTACCCCCATGACTCAGGAAACCTGGCAGCCTCTTTTAGTCGCTCATGATCTTATGATATCTTATGTAAATGACGCCACCGAACTGATATAATTGAAGTGGTGAACATTGGTGAACCACAACTTAACTCATGTGGTGGTGATATCTCAGCATTGCCGGCTGCCTTTGCACCGTCTGGGATTTAGATCGACCCATGTTGATCCCAGCTGCAGCTACTTGGATGGTGCATGGTGGAAATGAAACTCACAGCATCAGTCATTTGAAACAGGCACCCCGGAGTCTTCCACCCGCTGCTTCTTTTCTGGCGAAGTCTCACAATGTTCCTGCGATGCTGGATTCCAAGGTTTCGAGCCAGTTGTTGATATGATTTCATTTCTCGCACACACATACAGAGTTGAAGCTATAGTAAGCTTGTAAGCAACAGTCAAAACGGATGTTTGAAGGATTTTGACCGTTTGTTGAACGATGATGTTGGTGTCTCCAGGGGTGAACACTGGTTTCCGGACATGCCTTGCGGTCACACCTACAAGCTGCAAGTTGCCTGACATTGTGACTACGAACCTCGCTCCTGGAAATGAGTGCCACCACGTGCCACCAGGAAAGCAAATAAGGCTGGATTTCTTGAAAGGTTATAGACTGGTTGGTGGTTGAGCCACACGGCCTAAACAACAACTATATATCGCATACGTATGTATGTATAGTAAAAATATATATAAATGTATACATATATGTATGTATATATATATATATATGTGTATATGTATTTATACACACCTACATACACAACACACAACACACACATACACATGTACACATATGTAACATATGTAACATATGTATGTATATATATATATTACGTTTATGAAATCGGTTTGGTGTACCATCCTTTGGAGCCGGCCACTCCTCCTTCGCACCATTCTGGTCGCTGGAACCATTCTTGGCTTTGCGTTTCTGGCCGCTCTCCTTTGCGGTGACTGATTGGGTTCTGATTGGACCGACTGTGTGAAGCTTGAACCAGCACCTGATCTTCATTTATGCATGAGTCATGAGTGCATATGTATAAATATACCGTATGTGTTACTTATTCCGACCAAAAAGATACACATATTATAAAAACAACTACTTAGACTTCAAAAATTATACACATAGATAATCATAGATACATGTGCAAATCAGATCCGATACAGCACATACCAGGCAGACCCGTTCTGCAAGACCCACAACGCTCCTGTGGTATGAGATTCTGAGGCCGGAAGGACCTTGGCCAAGCATGGGCCAACAAGGGATGCAATTCTTGGCATGACCAAACAATGATAAAATGATACAGCATCTAAAAACATGAACGGGCTCAATTACACAAGTTACTGTCACGAGTTATATATATATATATGACATGTCAAACAATCAAACAGAGTCTAACATGATAACATGGAGAACACAACTTGGACCAAGAGCACGGGTTTGCACACTTTGGCACTTCCGTCCCTAAAAAATGTCATAGTCACACACTTCGGATATGCTTGTCGTCATTAACATCATATCACTACACCTAATGCGACCTCTCAATGGGTAAGTTGGCACAGGCATTCTTCGGAATTCTTCGCAACACCATAGGTACAACGGTGTTCCAATCTCTGTTTCATAAAATCATTCATTATCATTCCATATTGTTCCCCATGGAACACCTCGACACCTCCAAGTTGCTTAATGCCAACACCTTCGATGTGCACTCGCCAGCGCATTGACTGACCATCCCAGGTGAGCAGTTTACCTACCAACGAGCCATGGAAACAGCAAAGTGGTGACCCACAAAATTCATAAAAAATCCGAGTCTTGGGCACAGTTCAGCCGCAAACCATGTCAAATACAAGATCTTTGTCCAAATTGTTGTCCTTGTCCTTAGGCCATCCTAAAGTGAACAATGGCAAAATCTGAACCTCTGCTGGTTGAATGACAAGTAACCAGACTGGCCGTTGAGTTCGGGCATGGATTGTAACCCTTCCATGGTGACCTCAGGGCAACGACGGATCCGTGCATATCTTGACAATCTCGATTGACCCAATGAAAGTCGTTATACGAAATTGGATGCATGCATGTATATATATATATATCTCTCTCTCTCTCTCTCTCGCCATATCTCACAATTGCCTTCTTCGAGTTTTAGCCTGGGGCTAAAAACGAGCCATTGGCCCAATGCCCAAATCTAATTTTTTTAGTTCCAAGGAACCATCATGCATCAGGAGTTTCAATGAGTTTCAACCATCAACATTCATCAACCATGATGATCGCGTACGCCCTCCTTCCAAGGTCAGTATGGGGTCAGTCCGAGAGGCAGAGGCACCTTCTTCGAATCCAGACCTGAAGCCTTCAGCTAGTCCTCAGCATCGCAGGTCAAAATGTCCTACCTAATAATTATACTATGGTAATTACATTTATATATTTATTATATATATATGCACATCCCAAGTCCCCTAAGTGGATCCTAACGGCAAATTCTTATGGGGAAAATGATGATGAAGCATCAAAATTCAGGAAGATGGGTTCCCGTATGTTCAAACAAAACTATTTGGGTTGCTTTCCAGTGTTTTTCTTGATCTTATTTCAAAAACAACCTGTGGGAACTCATGTGCAAGTGCATTTTACCGGGCATGACTTCTGAACCGTCTTGGGGTTGCCTAGCCACCTAGCCCAACATGCCCAACATGCCCAACATGTCCAACATGTCCAACATGTCCAACATGCCCAAACATGCCCAAACATGCCTGCATAAGCCTCTCTCAAGTTTCAAACAAACTGGGTGAAGGATAGCTGACCCACAACATCAACATCATCAACTCAAGATGGAGAACGGAATCCTCCTGTTCACCAATGACCTAGGTCATCCTAGGTCCAAACCTAGGTGCCCCCAACAAAAATCTCACACCGGGTTTTGCAAAAACATGACTCCTCCCCATGGCGGCCAAGTAGCTGCGTCTTTCCAGCTCAACGGCCGCCTGAAAGCCGAAGCAAACTTAAATTTCAAGAAAATAACCTTGTAGCCTACCAAACGGAATGCCATCTTGGAAAAAAACATCATCCCTTGCAGGGAGAAAAACAATCTAAACGAGCTATCTCCGCTGGCTGCCAAAATATTTCTGAGGTCCCTGACCCAGTCGGTTCCACCTTTTTTGGGCATCTCCGCTTTTGGCGCTGGCGTGGGTTCTGGGGCCTAGGGGTAGCGGCAGAGTCAGGGTGCATGAACCATGATGGACCATCAGAACCTAAGACTTACGCACTTTATGGATTTAGGTTTCGCAATTTTTTTCCTAAAGTCCTAAAGCAAAATATTGCACTGCAGATCACATGTCCCATGTTGGCTGTCTGGGTGAGCACCTGGGGCCTGGGCAGTAGCATTCGCCAATGGCCGCAGGTTTTTCCGCGAGACCTTGGATTTAGGCTGATATCAGTTGGAATTTGGCATTTTTAAAATTTTAAATAAGTATTCGCAACTGATATTGTTTTTCCCCACGTCCCAGGTGAGGGTTATTAGATTTTATCAGAGCTGTTCTCCTCATCCTCCTTCTCCTCCTCCTCTTCCTCCTCCTCCAGTTTCTCCTCGACCATGTCTGCATCAACTTCCACGTCCACTTCCGCCTTGCCAACTCGCCAATCTCTTCGCCAACTTCCGCGCGCAGTGGGCATTGCTGGACCTCAACTGCCGGCTTCCGATCTGAGTGGGCACGGCTGGACCTCAACCGCCAGGTTCTGAGCGCAGTGGGCACCGCTGGACCTCAACCGCCAGGTTCTGAGCGCAGTGGGCACCGCTGGACCTCAACTGCCGGCTTCCGAGCCCAGTGGGCACCGCTGGAACTCAACCTGGGACCTTCAGAGCTCAGTGGGCACCGCTGGACCTCAACCTGGGACCTTCCGAGCTCAGTGGGCACCGCTGGACCTCAACGGCCAGATAGAATGCCAGAAGATATGCCAGATAGAACGCCAGATAGAATGTCAGAAAGAATGCCAGAAGATATACCAGATAAAATGCCAGAAGATATGCCAGATAGAATGCCAGAAGATATGCCAGATAGAATGCCAGAAGGTATGCCAGATAGAATGTCAGATAGAATGCCAGAAGGTGTGCCAGATAAAGTGCCAGAATGTTTGCCAGATAGAATGCCAGAAGATTTGCCAGATAGAATGCCAGATAGAATGTCAGAAGATATGCCAGAAGATATGCCAGATAAAATGCCAGAAGGTATGTCAGATAGAATGCCAGAAGATTTGCCAATAACAGAACGTATAAATGTCATGGCGGGGAAAACTCGAAGTACAGAATTTTTTAAACATATATTGACATACTCTATAGGTACCCATCCATGTGTGGTTGAATGTGATTCAACGGAAATTTCCGGCCCATTATGTTGTGCTGTGCCAACTGCTGCGCGTGTTCAGCCATTTTAAGGTGTATGTATATATATGTATACATACACATACGGATAATGAATCATAATATATCATAATCAAGTATATATATATATATTGTGTGCGTGTTTCCTAAATAGTGTAACAGTCAGTAAAAGGGTTCCTTGCTAAACACCACCCCAAAAAGGAGCACCATAAAATCAAGTTATTTTTCTTCACGGATTGTTAGCCTGGGGGCATGTTCAATTTTTCTCAAGGATTATTTCAATTTGGGACCATGGGTCAAAATTTGGGAAACAAAACCCGTCCATTCTGCTCAATGTAGACATGTGGTGGCTTGCACACATCAGATTAGGAGAAAGAGGACATGGGAATCACTTCTCAAAACCATCTGGGATTGGGAATCACAACCATATCAAATATCGAACATGAATCATACACTATCCAAACTTCCCATCAAACTTCATCTACTGGTTTGCCAGGTTTGCTGCTGTGCTGGAGCCAGAATTATATTACTGCCTTATTTCTCGGTTTGTTGTGCACCAAATCGTGCTCCAATGCGTGTTTTTTTTTTTCGCGGTTTGTCGGGCACCAAATCGTGCTCCGATGCATTTTTTTTTTCGCGGTTTGTCGGGCACCAAATCGTGCTCCAATGCGTGCTTTTTTTTTCCAAGGTTTGTCGGGCACCAAATCGTGCTCCAATGCGTGCTTTTTTTCGCGGTTTGTCGAGCACCAAATTGTGCTCCAATGCGTGCCTTTTTTCGCGGTTTGTTGTGCACCAAATCGTGCTCCAATGCGTGTTTTTTTTTTCCGGTTTATCGTGCACCAAATCGTGTTCTACTTTGTGGTTCCTGGCCTGGTGTGTCTTTTGGGAAATTGTTGCTGGTGGTTTTTCTGCAATGTTTGCAATTTTTAATCTTTCATGAAGGTATTGACTGTTGGTAGTGGTACTGACAAAACTTGAGGATTGCTACTTGTATTTTAAATTGATTTCTTCATGCGCCAAATCGTGCTCCAATGTGTGCTTTTTTTTCGCGGTTTGTCGTGCGCCGAGTCGTGCTCCAATGTGCGTGGTTTGTTCCGGTTTATCGTGCGCCAAATCGTGCTGTATGGTCTCAAGTTTTTGAAGATTCGTGCTCGGAAAATGAAAAAAATGCGGTAAAACCAAAAACTGGCGGTTTTGTCTGTTTTCCTCTTCGGAGCTTAGGCCAGGATCTGGCCGGAGCTAAGCCAGCCTCCAAAGCCTAGAAGAATATTGAATACTGCATACTAATATATTGAATATTGAATACTGAATACTGTATATAACTCTAGATCCAATCACAAAGCATCTCATGTTGGCACGTAGGAGATTATATACAGTACTTGATTTTGGCCTTCTTTCTCGTGCTCCAAATGGTGCCCCATTTCGTGCCACGGTTACAATATTTAAGCTATTCACAGTATGATTATGATTATTATTATGATTATAATTATATATATACACACATATACACCCATACGTGAAAGTGATTGAAAGTGTATGTGTGTGTGTAACATCTGGATAGATGTAAAACTTCCTTCTTTTTTCTTCCCTCTTCTCCCTTTTTAAATAATGCAGGGGGTGCCAGGGATCATTGCAAGTCTGGCACTAACAAAGACACTTGCCTTGATCTGTGATATCAGAAAGGGACGCCTTTCTGACGTACCTGCCAATCGAAATTTTATTTCTGCAATGGCCAGGGGCTAAGCCAAGTACCCCACCATGAATTTTCCATGTTTACACGGTCGCCGCAATCTGAACAACATTTTGGGGTCTATCATACATGATCGCCGATTCATCGCCGATATATTGGTCGTAGATTAATTTGTTTCTCATCCAATCTGCACGTTGCAGGATTCAGTTCCTGCCGGATCACTACAATGATCCATTCTTATCTAGTGTGATTTCTATGGTGACTCCGACATGGTGCCATAGGGCCAAGTGAGGCAACCCTGTTTAGGGTGAGTGTCGACTGACTTGAATTCCGAATTAACACATTTTAATTTGGTAATTCGCTTAAGTAATGTGCAACAGTCGGCCTTTCCGTTTTGAGCCTTTTGAGAAGTCCCGCTGATCCTGCGGTCCCTTGTGAAACCTCGTGGAATGCAGTTCTTTGACATTGAAGCGGTGCTGAACATTCAGAAACCTCTTTTTTCGCAGCAACTTTTGCAGTCACATTGCATCATTACATGACAGAGGATTCAGGCAGGCACACGACTTTCAGGTGTGGTCTTTTTCTTTTGATGGTTGTCTGGTGAGGTGAAACATATTGTGCACCTAATTCGTTGGAACTTGAAAGCCGTTTATGCCAATTGGGGCAAGACTTGACCACGGTCCCGGCAAGGGAATAACGCACGACACTTAGGTAGTTAGGAACTGAGTCCTGTCTTTAATTAACTGTTTTGGTTTTCTTGTCTGTCTTCAACTAGTCCCCCATTTGGTCCCTAATTTTCCCCGCGTGCCTCTCCGTAATGTGTCGTGGGGTTTAGGTGTGTGCGCTGTTTTGGTCAGGTCCGTTTCGCCGTGTAGGTTGGTTCTGGAGGTCCGTCTGTTCCCCTTCCCCCCCTGCGCTGTTTTTGGCCGTCTGCCCGTCGTGTGTCCGCTTTTCTCTTCCTCTTGCCTTTCAGGGTTTTCCCGGCTCTGCCGGGTGTGTGTGTGTGTGTGAGTGTGTGTGTAACATCTGGATAGATGTAAAACTTCCTTCTTTTTTCTTCCCTCTTCTCCCTTTTTAAATAATGCAGGGGGTGCCAGGGATCATTGCAAGTCTGGCACTAACAAAGACACTTGCCTTGATCTGTGATATCAGAAAGGGACGCCTTTCTGACGTACCTGCCAATCGAAATTTTATTTCTGCAATGGCCAGGGGCTAAGCCAAGTACCCCACCATGAATTTTCCATGTTTACACGGTCGCCGCAATCTGAACAACATTTTGGGGTCTATCATACATGATCGCCGATTCATCGCCGATATATTGGTCGTAGATTAATTTGTTTCTCATCCAATCTGCACGTTACAGGATTCAGTTCCTGCCGGATCACTACAATGATCCATTCTTATCTAGTGTGTGTGTGTGTGTATGACTGAGATCCTATTTGATTATTAATTGGAGTTTTTGGAGTTTGGAGGGCCCACTTGTGATCCAACAGGGCCCCCCGAGTCCCACCTCAATGGCTTCACCAGAGGTGCGCAGCACGCACTTGCAGCGCCCGGTGTCCCCATCCACGGTGACCACGCGGACCACCTGAGCCCGGTGCCCCAAGGGCCCAAGGGTGTTTGAGGACAAGCTGGAAAAATCAACATACAATCCAGGAAAATGATGGAAAATGTATGGTGTTTGAAGATCATTGACATTTGAACATTTTGAAAGCACCAAAATTTTCGACCTGGAGTCATGTTTTCAAATCTCGTCCGGCCTGACCCTCATGCTCCGGCAAGTCTTTCACGGCCGCCTGCAGCGGGACCAGCCCTCCAGACTTGGGTCTCTTTATCTTGAACATCCATGTGCCACCAAGTGCCACCAGAAAACCCCTCCAAACCGGCCCTTGAAAACGGTAAGTGTCCGGTCCTGCACCCCACGACGTAGCCAGTTGGCGTCCACTGAGATGGGTTCATTTTTCCTTAGCATCTGAAAAGATTGTCTCTTTTCCAGCTGGCAATGGGAAACCTGTCTCTTGAGATATCTCATGTTACAGAAATTACATAGTTCAACCATTTAAAGTTAAATTGGGTTTTCCATGGCTATGTCCGTTTACTCCAATCTTCATGCATGAAACATCTAGATAGAACAATTCTCGAAGGGCTGCTTAAAACAATCAAATTCCAAGTTGCGTTGCTTAAATCCATCTTTTTCCAAAGTTTTTCCATAGTTTTACAATAGCTTCTGAATGGTTTCCATGTCTTTTGGCCCATCGGCCCATCATTTAATCCCAGTTTCTCAGGCGTTTCCGCCAGATTCTCAGCTTTGAATTTCATCTCCTCACCTTGGTTTTGCGAGGTCGTCATACCTTTTGAAAATCGGGGTGGGCAAGGCAACTAGAGATAAGAACATTATACATATATATACACATGTTATATGTATATATAGAGATAATAAAACGATATAAGATTATATAAGTATACCATATAACATGATGATGGTGATGATGACTGTCCCTTTCAAAATGCTGCTGGTTCCCAAAGCTATGTGCCCCCCGTTGCCAGGTCGCCCGGCCAAAGGGTGCGACTTTGCATCGCCAGCGACCGCTGCTCACCTCACGAACCTGACCAGGAATGAGTACAGTAATCACCAATGATGGCTATAATTAACATTAATTTACTAATGGGATTATATCAATTTATATCATGGACATATATATATATATAATCCCTTCCCCCTATTACTAAACGTCACCCAAATACTAAAAACAGGGGTCCATCTCCAATTTCGGATAATTTCAGATTGGCCAATTTGACTTTTAATTGATCCCCTTTAGAAACCAATTTAAAAATAAAGCTACGATTTGTGGGTTTTGCCACCCTAATACTAAAAACGCGTTTAACCCCGGGGTGTTTATTATTAGGGTCCGTCCAAAAAAATATTTTTTATATTAGGGCTTTTAAAATATTATTAGGGCCCGCTTCGAAATCCAATTTTTGGCAATATTTTAATTACATTTTTTAAATACGGAAATTTAATTGATTTTGAAATCGTAAAAAATAGTTTTTATTATTAAGGTTTCAAATTTATTGATAGGGTTCCCGAATAATATATGCCACCCTAATAATACCCGTTAATTGGTGGGTTTAGTATTAGGAGGACAGGATTATATAATGGGGATAAACTCAGAATCTGGTGGTTCTACAACAACTAGTCAATCACTCAATCACCATTGTTTTTCTGGATAACCAATCAACAACAAGCGAGAAAAATATCAGGGCTGGTGGTTTCAACCCATCATCCCAGGTTGGGTTGAACCCCGACAAGTCCCGCCTGAATGGTCACCTGGCTGGGAAGCTGGTTGCCATAAAACTTCCCAACCATGAAAGGAGCGGGGATATTCTAAATCATCCAGTCCTAGCGGTGTTCACAATAAGCCCCCAGAAATTGGAGATGGTTGGTTTATTTTCGAATTTACCTCAATTACATCCAAAGAGAGTGCGAGAGAACAGCGTGCGAAAGAACAAACTTCTGGTTACGGCAGGTGTGGGCACCGATCAAATTCGAACACGTTTTGTAAGCAACCAACCCATCCGGGATACATGAACCAAATAAGGTAATCTTCCAAAACAGAACTTAAACATCTTAAAATCGAGGGGAACAACAGAGTTTGGTTTTTGTAATAGTGGGGGGACCTGATTTTTTTTTATCTATCAGTATATCCATGCTTTCCCCCACCAAGAGTTCCAAAAGAAAATGTATGTACTCAAATTTCTCCCGCATGTTTGGATGCTCAAATATGCTAGTATCCCATCTGGTTGGTGGTTTCATCCCATCCGAAAACCTATTTTCCAATGGGATATTCTCATCCCAGGTATGGACAGTATGGAAAGAAACCAAGTCGGCGTGAAACCGCCAAGCAGATTTCTTGGTTCACAGCTTTCCCCGGCATAGCTGGCAAAGGTCCCGTTTTTTGGTGGCAATTCCCCCAATGGTGAATTGAACTCGCTTGAGTTGAGCCATGGAATACTTTCAATGGTTGGTCCGTTGGTCTCCCATGCCGAGGAAAAACTGCACCTCTTGGCCGTTCAGCTCCGGCCTTGGAAATGCGGGAACAAAATGGGGTTATAATTCCTCTTGGATTTGGTGCATTTTTTTGGGATGATTTCAAACAGTGTTTGATGCTGCGTATGTCGTCTCAAGTCTATACGCCTTGGCAATTTCATGCAATTTCACGATGGAAAATGATCCATGTAGTTCGATGATTTACCTGTTAGACATGATGGTTTTCCAGGGCAAACTTAGTCATACCCGAGGGTATTAACCAATTTTCCATTCATATCCCATGAGCCCTTCTCTTTTCGCATGCCATTATTTCCCATTATGCAGCCATTTAGTCGGATGGTTTTCCCATTAAAACGATCCGGATGTTCCATTAACCGGAAGGTAACCAAAATTCCGTTCATATCCCATATTCCATTTATATATATATATAAATCGCATTATATCACATTATATCACCATGATATACCCATCATATCACCATTAATACCCAATATATATATCCCAATATCTCGAAGCCAAGCTGAAGCCCGCCTGGACTTCAAACCTTCCAGCACTGCACGGCCACCAGGCCGCACCCAGGGCCGCAGAGGCTCGGCCATTGCGAGCGTTTTCGCCGTTTCCGCTTGGCAGGGCCGCAGATTTTGGGGAGTTTTGACCGACATTTGTGGGTGAGATCAATGGGGATATACCGTGCGTAGAATGGAAATATGCATATTTTATCATATTATCTGATATTATCTGACTGTGTGCTGGGATTATGGGGGGATTTCATGGATTCTGAACCTTGGTATAGCCTGATGTTCAGACCAAAAGCTGGAAAATCAACGGTCATTCCCCCCAAAGATGCTCTTGACGGGATTGACCCCTTAATTAATTTGAGTCACATGCTTCAACTGCGGTGCCAGGATACCCAGGGCTCATAGGACCCCAAATTGTGATGATGGTGGTGGCTGGCAATGTGAGTGGGGGGATAACGGAACATAACTGGATGGGCCCTTTCGTAGAACTGCTAGCCTAAGGACCACATATTTGACAATGACTTCCGATTGCAATCCCTGGGTTATAAAGCCGACGAAACATGGAGGTTCTTCGATGTATGACTGTATCCAACACGTTTAACTGTTAATTGATTGCGAATGAAGTTACAGCATAGCTCGCAGAACTGGAGGTTGACTGCTCATTTTGTGGCAGTGGGAATGTGCTCTGCCTTTGTGCACGCAATTGTGGAATCCTGGTGGCTTTCGCGGCTGCAATGCAGTGCTTTTTGTTATGGGCAAAATCCTGCAGAGGTTCAGGAAGAATTGGACCCCTGATCTATTGGAATTCAGCTTGGGGGCAGCCTAGAAAGGTCCTAGCAGCTGCTATGAACTATGAACATCAGCTGGATCCTCTGAGCCACTGTGGTCAACACGCTTGGGCCCACACAGCTGCATTTTGTTGCCAAACGGGAGCGGGAGAACTGTGAAGCGCAAATCACCACTTTGGATGCCAAACCTTACACTTACACGGCACATAGGTGTTTGCAATGTATGTTATGTGCAACGGGGTAAACACAGTGGATCGTCCCTGGCTACAGGGAAGTGCAACAGACCAACCCGATGGTCATGCTTCGCAGGAAGCAGCGCAAGTTGTTTTGGCCCAAATGCCCACCCTATCATTGCAGGGGGAATGATCGAGTTTGAAAAAAGTACAAAAAAGTCATGACATGTCAGTAATGCTTGCATCCTATACGTATACTGAGCTTTTTGTAAACTTTACAGGTCAAAACGCTAAGTGAAGGGATGATACGGTCCATCATCTTCTATCCATGGCCATCCGCTCTTGTCGGCCATGTCTTTCACCGCTGCTACGAAATATTCTTGATCTTCTCGGAGTTTTCGTTCGAGGGCCTTCTTGTGCATCTTTCGGCCGGCTGTGAAGGTCTCGTCACGCACCAGCTTCCAAAATTGTCTCTGGGAGAGAAACTGGAGAAGGGCTTTGCGGTCATTGTATTTGGTGAGCGTGTTGGCCAGTTGCGCAAGCCCACAAACCCAACGGAACTGTGTTCCTGATTCCTGCCGTGTGAGCTTGAACCACTGCCAGCGTGAGCTCATATCCAGCACGGGAATCTCGAAGTCCGTGGAGACTCGAAAGGTTCCTTGCTGAGGCGTCATAGATGCCTCGCGAATCCATGACCACTGCCCCAGGCACAGATGCTATGCGTTGGTGCAGATCCTTCCTTCCCAGCTTGTGACCGCATAGTTCGTAGAGAAGCCCGCGAATCTGAAAGTTCATATATCTTCAGCTGTGGTAAAGCTTCGAACTTCAGCACCATTTGAACTCAAGGTCTGACGTGGTGTGCGGCCAGATTTCCACTGGATCACCGCCACTTGCGTGTCGTGCCCTTGAAGACTTCCTTTCGTCGCAAGTCCACGCCAATTCTACTTCCTTTATCACTTCTGTTGTGGTTGCTCGCATCAGCCCAACTGATCACCGCCAGCTCTTGCAGAAACTCCAGGCCAATGAGGAAAACTGAGTTTCTGCTGAGCATTGCGTCTCATGTTCATGTCTCGAGTGAGCTCGTTGACCTTGATCAGGGCCACTTTGCCTTTGTTGATTTCGCCCAGAAAAAGCAAGGCGTCTGCCAAATACTGAAGGGCAGATTGAGTCGCCCTCCAGGAAGCAATATTCAGGGTGTAGCCAGTGTAGTCTTTCTGGTCCATGGTGATCTCCATTGTCCAGGACAATTTTCCAAACGCCAGCAAATGCGCCAGCAAATTCGAAGCCATCGCTCGCTGAAGACCATTTTCCCAACCGGAATTTGGCTCGAAGTGCGCTTTCAGCTTCTTCAAAAACTTTTGAACCAGGCCGTCCAGCAATGAGAAAATCAATAGCATGCCATGTAGGCCTGCAACTCCAGCAATCCGTTCAACTCCATCGACCGCATCGGTCAAAACAAACAAGCATTTGTCGCCCAGCAGGGGCTTCCATCCAACTTGCTTCATCGCTGAGACCACTGTTTCCCACCATTTCCGCGGGAATGCGCCAATCCATAGAAAGCTCGCAGCACATGTAGAGCTCGAGGATCTAGTGGGTTTCCTCCGAAGTAGGAAGCCAATTCAGGCGGCGCACAAACATAGAGCTCCTCCGATTCCAAACTCTCATCGGTTGGAAGATTGCTCCCTACTTTGCCAAGGGTAGGAGGTAGTTTCCACCTCACACAATCGCGCGCTTGAAAACCAAGAATAACTAAGCGCGCTTTTGCCGCGCTTCCATCGCCCTTCCATGTGAGCACCCAGCGCATGTTCATCACGCGGGACTTGTCCAGTTTGAGTGACTCATCCTTTGTAATGTTCCGCAGGGCTCTGGAAGTTGCAACTTGACTCAGCTCCCTGGCCATGGCGATGTCGAAGAGCTTCTGGTCGAGCGTCAGCTCTTTCCACTGCACCCCTTTGCTCTTGTCAGCCATCTTGCGAGACAGCCAAATCTTGGCTTTCCGATTGACGCAATTCTTTGCCAGCCATTCGTAGGCATCAGCTTCAACAGGAAGTTCCAAGGCAAAGAAAGTTTCGTGAGGGGCAGGTTCAGGAGGATCAGCAGGTGCAACATGAAGAGAATCTGGCATCAATCCCATCATCATCATCATCTTCAGCATCATCCCCAGATTCGGCTTCTTCTGTCGCGAACTTCTTGCTCTGATATGGGTCATAGAAAAAACTTCCCATCAGGTCCTTGATGCACTCCTTGATGTCTGCCAAGTAGTTCGCATCCAGGAATGGCACACCCGTTGCTGCCAGCATTTCCTTTCAAACAAACTGGTAAACCATTAACGGCATCACTGCCATTTCGCAGCAGAGAGAGCTTCATTCAAGCTGCTTTGAGGAATCTCTTTTCGAGGAACTTCTCCTTCGGCAGGTTCAGAAGCTTCAGCTTGTCCCGAAGGTTGATCTTGTTCAGCTTGAAATGGATCTTGAGGAGGTAGTTCTGGTTCCTCTTGGTCGCCAGAAGTTTTTCCTTCTCATCTTGTTCCTCTTGCAGCTCTTTCAAGTTCTTCGCAGGAGGCCTTTTGAGGCCAGTTTTCGGAACGCTTCTTCTCACCTTCAAAGGTCACGGACCCATCTTCATGTCGAACTGTGTCTGACCAGTCCATCGGTCTTGCGGGGCCTTTTGGACTCATGTCATCACGGATCCGGACTTCCACCGTGGAGAGGTCGCACCACTGTCGTGCGCTTGCCAGTGAGCTCATCCATGGAAACCGGACAGGTTTGAACTCGAAGGGGAGAAAATAGAGCAAGTCTTGGGAAGATGGTGAATGCGCACCAAGGTCTTGGAGTCCTTGTCCTCGCGAAGCTCCCAAGTGTCAGCACGATGAGCTTCAGGCCGAGGTTGAACTTGAAATTCTGTGGGGCTCAGGTCTTGTTGAAGTTGTTGTTCACTTGGCACGCTACCAGGCATATCATAATAGTAACGTCCCTTGAACGCTCTCATCAGGGTCTCAGTTGTGATCGGCGTCTTGTGGACTGCTGTGCCTTCTAAAAGAAGCTGTCAGCTCCTCTCTTCTTGTCACAGGGCGGATTTGGTTTGCCTTTGCTCTCACCAGAGCGCTTCCAGTTGCCAGCCAAATCGTACTGCCTTCCAAAATCGTACTGCCTTCAACCAGTACAACACGAAGAGGTCCAATCCAAGAACCACCAGTGCGCCCAGGTTTCATTCATCTTCTGGCGCCAAAGCATCACAAGTTGACCCGTTGCCACCTTCACTGGCGGCCGTGTCGCGGCATTGGCCAGCTTGCTAAAACGGTCTCGGGCTCTTTCCCACTCAAAGGCCAGTCTTGCCTTTTCACGGATCTTGAGAAGACCACCAAAAGCTTTGCCAGCTCTGAATGGCACCTGATCGCCATCCAGCCACTGCTCCAATCGGCCATTCCCATCCAAAATCACCTGCAGCTACCACAGACGAGGATGGTCTTGAAGCTGCTTCGCAAGTGCTGTTGTGCCCTTCTTGCTATCCAGGTCGTACCCGGTGCGGTGATTGATCCGCAAACATTGAAGCCCACCATTTTCAAACGCCAAGGTCGAGGTAGGAGAGCAGGCAATCTCCACCAGGTCATACTTGGTCTCCGTAGCAGCAAAGATCTCGTTCACTGGGCCCAGAACCATTGCAGAAAGTGTTGCGGCTTTTGCCAATTTCTTTGCCAAAGGTGGCAAAATCTCTCGAGTGAAACGGTTCTTCATGGACAAAATGTCCTCTTTCGTAGTGCCTTTGCTTGGCGTAGTGGACGCATGTGGCTGGACTGTTGAATTTGTTGGAATCATTGGTGGTTGTTGCTTCCATGTGGCTGTCAACCTCCAGCCGCCGGTTGCCATTCGACGCATCAGAGGATCGCATCTTTTCTCGCAAGGCCTTCAAGGAAAACATAGGCCAGCTATAGCCTTCCACGCCGGGGTCTCCTCATCGCTGTGGATCTCCATTACATCGTGCAGAGGGTCCGGCACCTCCATCACCGGCAGATCTGGGGCAGGAGCAGCCTTTGCTTTGGCCTTGGCCAGTGGGTTCACTGTTGGAACAGCTGCATTCGAAGGAGCACAGCTTGGTGTGGGTGACACGCACCTTGTTGCCCTTGTTGATCTTGTCGGAGTCGCCGGTGAAGGTATTGGCGTTGTAGGTGCCCTTGTGCTCTGAGACCTCCTTGGATAGCCCGTTGTAGTTGCAGCTTCTCCCAGAAGATCTCGGCCACATGGTTGGTCGGCTCTGATCTCCACTTGAAGGCTTCACGGCTCACCACAAGGCTTCGGCCTTTGATCTCCATCACCTTGCCCATGAAGATCTTCTCGTTCATTTCCACCTTTTTTTTTTCTGCTGCAGCTCGTCTTGCACCATCACCACGGGGCCGGTCCAACTGACCGGGCTTGGCCCTCCACCGTATAGTTCAGGCGCAGGCCGCATCGCTTGCAACTTGTCCACCGGGCATACTGGTTGGACTTCTCCCTGCCACTCACGCGCGCGCCGCAGCATGGCGATCCTTCTTGACGGGGACCGACCGTGTCGCAGCAACTTTGGACTGGGCCATTGATCTATTTCTTGAGCTTTTCAAGCCTTTGAGCCATGGGCTTCAGAATCGCATCGGCCCCATGATGAACTGCAAAATCATGTTGGTGTGCAGGTTCATGGGATGGCTGTGCATGTGGATGTGCAGCTTTGTGAGATAGATGGACAGCGTGAGCATGTTGATGCGCACAGAGCACCAAGGAACTCGACAGGCAGTCAGTGAAGCAGCACGGGCATGGGAGATTGAAATCACCTCCAAAGACTCGCTGTCAGTCCTTTCCAAGTCCTTCAGCTCGCCGGTCATGGCACCATCACCACAACGAAAAGGTCCAAAAACCGCTTCAACTTCGTCCTGGCCACGGCGAAGGTATACCATCTGCAAGCGTCACAAGGGCGTCGAAACGCGCGGGATCTCCATCCCAGCATGGCACCACGCTCTCATCCGCCGGCATCGCGCCCACCGTAGTAGAGCAACTTCAGGATGCAGCTCGAAGGCCAGTTCAAGTGGTAGAGCAAGTCCAGGATAAAGTCCAAGGTCCAGGAAGTAGAGCGGGATGTAGGCCAAGCCGCAAAGCGTGTAGAGCTCGAAGACCATTTCCACCACAGCAGCTGCACAGCGCGTAGAGGAAGAAGTCCAAAGCTCAGCAGCAGCGCAGCAAGCTCAGACCAACGGCACCTCCCTGGTACCAGGAGCTCCGCTTACCATGCAAGGGGGTAAACACAGTGGATCGTCCCTGGCTACAGGGAAATGCAACAGACCAACCCGATGGTCACGCTTCGCAGGAAGCAGCGCAAGTTGTTTTGCCCAAATGCCCACCCTATCATCAGTGGGTGAATGATCAAGTGTGAAACAGGTCATGACATGTCAGTCATGCCTGCATTATGGATTCTTCCAAAGATGCATTGCAAAACTAGAATTCATTACTTTGTTTTCTCAATTAGAGCTCAAAGATACCAATCGTATAAAATAACTATAACATAAAAAAAAGAAAAAACGACATTCTCATTCTTCCCAGCCTCGCGCTGCCACATCAGTAGCTACCAGAACTGCAGACCCAACGGCTCCACCTGTGAGGATCAATTGGACCAGGGATGGCTTGATCCCAAAGATGCATAACGATGCGCTCCATTTTGGACCAATCATTTCTGTGAAAAGTTCCCTCGGGGATTTAGCCATTTAGCATGTTAGATTTCAGCACACCACCTATCTTGGCTTTGCTGACCTGAGGTCCACTAAAAAGAAGCGAACCCTATAATATAAAATTATAAAATTAGGATACAGCAAATTAGCTATATAATCTTCAGCATTCTTCAGCAAATCCAAGCTGCTGTACAGTTGTACACCGGTCTCTTGTTTTGAAGAAACTGGTGATGGCCCATGGCTTACTCTTCTACAATACCCTCAAGTTCCTGATCACGGGGACGCTGAACTCGACTTGAATCAAATTGTGTCAAATGCATCCAAAAATGGCTTGGTCTTCCTGGTGTGATACATTGGTCGGCCAAACGCAAGGAGGTTGACCTAGCACAGACATAGCTTCTGGATTCGCCAGGTATGCGAAAGAGGGTGGGACGTCGGAAGTAGCAGCGTTGCTGCTGATCCTCCGGGGGAAGGTTGGTCACAATTTCGAACATCCTCTCAATCCGGTCCCAGTCGCTGGCCCGAATGAATTTTCTCAAGGTGGGCATCCCGGACTCGATATTGGACACCTCTGACTGGCGCTGAAATGATAAGTGCACCTCACAGATATCCAGGAAACCCGTGGCATCACTGACCAGCAAAGCAATTTCCAACAGATCATCATAGGCCACCACCACCTCTGACACACTACCACTGCTCCTCGCGGACGAAGGTTTTGGAACGGCAGGAACAGAAACTGGTTGAGCTTCAGGCGCAGCTTCTGGAAGGCTTTGTTCCGGGTCCTCCTTCATGGCTAACCTGGCTGGTTGTTTTATGTACCCCTTGGAAAATATGCTTGTCACAGCTTGTCATTGAGGATCATCATCCCATTTCTATCCATTTCTATGGCTCAAGAGTGTCAACATAACAAATGTATTGTACAAAAAATGAATGTTTGAAATATTTTGAAATCACCAGCCAGTAACAAGCAGTAGTCACTAGAAGCTCCGATAAAAGAACCATCTCCACCGCGAGGGAGTGTGGTACAAAAAAGGTCCATCGAAACGGCACCTCGTGCCCCTTGCAGTGACACTCGCAAGCCTCGGGGCAGGCCTTCCACAGCTTCCTCCTGTGTTTCTTGAACCAGAAATTCTTGGAACTTCTCACGGCTCTCAGTGTCAAGGAAGAGATCTAGGAAATTGCTCCTGTTCAAGTTCTTGCTGCATTTCAAAACACGTTGCAAGCAGGTGGCATCATCCACAATGGTCATGGTGCGACGGTCCAAAACGACATCACCATCACAGACTCCCCGCAGGACTTGACGGAAGCCCAGCATCAACGCGGATGCATCACCAGAATCCAGTTTGGCTGCCATGCTGGACCGGATTTGGTGCACGCAAAGGAATATGACTGCACCAAAAAACACGCTGGTAGCAATGGATGCAAAGACGACAAAGGGTGTGATATTGCCCACGCCGATTAAATTCCATCGACACCAAGTCAGCACTGCTGATTGACACGTGTAGAAAAGCAAGATCGCCTTCAAGTCAATCAGAACCACACTGCTGCAGATAAGACTGATGGTAGCCATTTTCTCAGCCAAATCAAAGACCACTAAGTCCCTTTCAAATGCAACTGCTGCAGCCAATATGGAATGAGTGAAAATGACAAGCCCTTGGAATTTGCGAAACTGGTCTTCTGTGTGCACTATGTCATAACAAAAGAGATGCAGGCAATAGGCCAGTACAGTTGCCAAAAGCTGGCAAACGGCAGCGAGACTGGGTTCGTGACACAACATCCAGATCTCGGCCAAGGTACAGAAGAAGGTAAATTGAAGGGACACTGCATGGGCATGCTTTAAATTTTGCACCCGAGCTTGCATCAATTCCACCTGGAATCGTTGCTCACGGCGATCTACCTCAAGCTTTTGGGGCCCGGAATTTGGGGAGCCTTGGCATGCCCATTGCCAAAGGCCAGCCTGCAGGTGCCACTTTGTTCCCTGCACGTGCCCAAAGGCAAGGAGTACAAAGCCAATCACCCAAAGTATCAAACTAGGATCGCCCGAGTCGCCGGGATTCGACATGGCCCTCAGATGATTGCGTAACAGGTGAAGCAGCCAAAACACCTATGGCAGCCATGATCAGCAGTTCCCCAAACAAACTCGGAGGATAGACTCCGGATTACATGGTGTCCGCTGTATTTCTGATCGAATGTTCTGGGGCAGTCTGTCATAGTCTGTCAGTAGAAACCAGTGGCAATACTGCAGCCTTTGCAACCGATGCCAAGCATGGAAGCACTGAAAATATTCCAAAATATGAATGGAAATTCATGTGTGAGAAATCCGGGAGGCAAAGTCTGGCACTTTTTCCCTCTTTTTTCCATCGCCTTTCTGTTTTTCAAATCTCTTTTGGATGGCTGCGCCTTCCCCAAATCAGGTGGCGCCAGCCATACATGCCATGCCTGGGAAGCCTATGGCCCTGCAAATGCAAATGAAGGACCGCATCAGGCGGTGCTGATTGTTCTTTGAAATCATCTTCGCCTGAACAATAACTGGTCAGAAAAGCGGCATTTGAATATATATATATATAATGTTAAAATTCATGTACAGACATGACAGCACATGGCCTACATTGGCTCAACATCAGGCCTTGGGCCCGAGTTTCCCTTGAGCCAACATGTAGTTGGCAACAGTACAGACAACAAAGACTGCACAGCAAAAACTGCTGTAACTGCTCTGAGACAACAGGTGCTTGAAACATCTCGCATCTGTACAATAGACCAACAAATATCTATCTATCTACGTATCTGTCTGTCTGTCTTTCTGCCTGCCTGTCTATCTATCTATCTGTCTGTCTGTCTACCTACCTATCTGTTTACCTATCTACCTACCTACCTACCTATCTATCTGTCTATCTATCTATCTAATCTAATCTAATCTAATGTAACCTATCTATCTATCTATCTACCTACCTATCTATCTATCTATCTATCTACCTATCCGCCTATCTACCTATCTACCTATCCACCTACCTACCTATCTACCTACCCATCTACCTATCTACCTATCTATTTACCTAGCTATCTATCTGTCTATCTATCTATATATCTTTCTTTCGTTCGTTCGTTCGTTCTTTCTTTCTTTCTTTCTTTCTTTTTTTTTCTTTCTTTCTTTCTTTCTTTCTTATTTGTCTGACTATCTTATTTATCTCCCTATCTTACCTTATCTTACCTTACCTTACCTTGCCTTATCTTACCAATCTATAAATCTATCTATCTATCTATCGATCGATCTATCTATCTATCTCCCTGTCTGTCTGTCTATCTATCTATCTATCGATCGATCTATCTATCTATCTATCTCCCTGTCTGTCTGTCTGTCTATCTATCTATCTACCTGTCTATCTATCTATCTATCTACCTATCTATCTATCTATCTATCCATCCATCCATCCATCTATCTATCTAATCTATCTAATCGCTCTAATCTATCCAATCTATCCAATCTATCCAGTCTATCTATCTCTCTATCTCTCTAATCTCTCTAATCTATCTGATCTCTCTAACCCATCCAATCTATCCAATCTATCCAGTCTATCTAATCCATCTATCCTATCCTATCCTTTCCTATCCTATCTTTCCCATCTACCTATCTATCTAATCAATCTAATCTATCTATATAATCTATCTAATCTATCTAACCTACCTAATCTATCTAATCTACCTAATCTATCTAATCTATCTAATCTATCTGATCTATCTCATCTATCTCATCTATCTCATCTTTCTAATCTATCTAATCTATCTAACCTATCTAACCTATCTGTCTATCTATATCTACCTATCTATCTGTTTGTCTGTCTATCTGTCTGCCTGTCTATCTATCTATCTGTCCGTCCATCTGTCTGTCTATCTAAGTGTCTATCTATCTATCTATCTATCTGTCTGTCTGTCTGTCTGTCTGTCACATGCCTGTCTATCTATCTGTCTTTCTACCTATCTGTCTGTCTATCCATCTTTCTTCCTATCTATCTATCTATCTACCTGTCTGTCTGTCTATCCGTCTGTCTATCTATCTATCTATCTACCTGTCTGTCTATCTATCTGTCTGCTTATCTATCTATCTATCTGTCTGTCTGTCTGCCTGTCTGTCTATCTATCTGTGTATCTGTGTATCTGTGTACGACGTGTGTGTGTGCGTTTGAATGTTTGAACATCAAAGGTTGCCATGTCTGTTTCCCAGGGCAATCGCTGGATGCAGGCCCCTTTTGGCATGTCACATCTCCGACACGCAGTCAGGCAACCTATAGCTGGTGGGGGGGCTGGAGCTTTATCTGGGCTACGTGGTTTACACCTACCAGTTGGGTTTCCGAGTTAGAGTCCGGCGGTTTCAAATGGATCCCAAGGATATCCGCTCAGAGGGCAATCATGGAAAATATCGTGACAAAGAAAAGTATGAGTAGGGCAAACCATCAACACGGATTTGGGATGATTTGGGCATCGTCTAGGCTTCATGCAAACCCCCCTATACTGCAGATTCTACGTCATGCAAAGGACTCTCAATTTTGATAAGGATATGGACTGCACACATCCACCACCATCTTTAGAGCTGGGAAATGCTGTGAAAAAATTACCTGATTGCCTGTTTGGACATGAAAATCAGGCAGGATGCTGCGGCTTCCGGACTCGGGTCAGTCTGGGTGATAGTGGCATCAAAGGCTATATCATACCATATCGTGATGCTACCCTTCACCCACCTGACAAATGCCACTTCCGCCATCATCTCCCAGCACATCTTCCAAAAAAAACGAACAGTTGAAAGTTGAAAGCACCAATCATGCGGATTTAACAACCCTTGAGGTAACCCCTTGCTGGTTCGTTCGCCCTAAGAATCGCCAAGAGGCAGCTCCTTGGCTCGCCCGCTGACACTGCCTGGGGGTTGGTGTTTTTGGCCACAGCGGAAACATGCGGAAACGCCGGGAAGACATGATTTCCCCAATTTTTTCCCAGGTTTCCTGATGTTTCCTGCAAACGTTGTTTTGGAATCTTTTAGATCGATCCAATGATGGAAATGACAAGGATATCTTTGGCAATAGAAATGGATGCGCCAACAATGTGGGTCGTTTGTGTGGCCATGGGTTGGGCCAAGCCTCTTGAGTCATTTTCTCTCACCTTTTTTTTGGGGGGATGGTCTAATACCGTTTGGTTATTTAGCATAGCTATGAGCAATTGCCCATTTGTAGATCATTTATGGCGATTTGCCTGTTTATCTACGAAAACTGTGACTTTCATAGCTGCGCTGAATAACCAACCGATAAAAAACACATGTGAAACCCTTAGCAGCAATGACCGGCAGGCTGACTTGCAGTTGAGCAGGATCCAGGGCGCTTGGTCTTTGAGTTTACGCTGCATAGTGGGGACCCTGGGCACTCAAGAACCAACAGTCCACGCACTTCTTTGCAAGTGGCTTCTGGTAAGAATCTCTCTGTGCTTGGCAAGCTTCAAGTTCTTCCTGCGGAAGATTGGGAGGAGAAGGAGAATCAATATTATTAGTGGAAGTATTGCTAGTGGCATTATGATTGTGAGCTACATAGATGGTTGCCGTTATTTTCTTGATGGCGGTGATGATGATGATGATGGTGATGATGATTGTGGTGAAAGTCATGACAGTGATGAGAATGATGATAATGATTATGCTGGTGGTGGTGCTGGTGCTGACGGTGGTGCTGACACTGGTGAAAATTGAGCTATGCTTTTTCATGAGTTCTGACTAGGGTAAGCAACATTTTATATATGTGATAGTAATGGTAGGGTGGCGATGTGGGTAGCTGTGGAACTTTTGCTGATGAGCACCCTTGTAGCAAAATACTAAAACCAAGGTCTTATATATATATATATGTATACAGGCTCCATGCTATATGCACCCTAAATATATATATATACACTCTATTACTCTATATGTACTCTAAAAACGTTTAAATATATGCATATGTGCGATATATATATATGCATATACACACACTATACTTATATACATACATTACATAATATACTATATTTAGCGTATATCATATACGACAAATATATACTACAATATGTACTACAATTTATGTAGTAACTCACAAGAAACTACAAATCTATACATCGATAAAAAAATATACACCACAAGTATTACTACAGTTATACGCGTACAAATACATACAGTGTTGTCCTTTTACCTTAAATAGAAACTATATTTTAATACTAGACTATTGCTAGATCAAAATGCCAAGCTATTTAGTTCTAGACTATATCTATAATATGCCACATAAATACACACTACACATATGTATATACACGCTTAATATATACACGAGTACACACACACATATATATATATATATGTACGTATGTATATATATATATGTATGTATTTACATATATATAAATACATATGTATGTATATATGTATATATATACATATATATATATAGATATGTATGTATTACATATATATATATATGTGTATATATACATGTATACACTATCTGCAAATAATTGTAAATATATATAATTATATATAGACCGCATTGTATTCTATACGCATCATATTTTTGAGAGTGTGTAGTGTGTATAACTTGGTTTTCGAGCACTCAAGGGCCTGTGCATGGATTGACATGTATGGGCCTGGACAGGGTCTATCTAAGTTCACTCCGGTCTTCTCCTGTCTGCTTTGCCCACATTGTCGTTGGCCCTTCTGTACACATCTACAGCAGGCAGTCTTTGCACTTTCGAACTCTTCAGGCCCTCTTTGAGCCGCTTTTCGTAGCCGGCCAGCTCTTGCGGATCCACAGCCTTGTTCCGCTGAGCTGCAGCTTTCTCGGCCTGGCGTTCGGCGACCAGGTCCTCATACTTCTTCTTCCATTCATTCTTCTCAGTCTCCAGCTTGCGGCTACCAAGCTGCGTCTGCCATTTTCATGTCCTTGAAGTCCGCGATGGCCTTGTCCTTAAGTCCTTGTCAGCACGTTTGATCTGGCCCTCGACCTCGTGCTTCAGGCGGTCAGCCTCGTTGTAGAGGTCGGTCACCTCCTGGAACTTCTGCGCCTCCTCGGCCTTCTGGTCG